AAAACAAAGATTAGAAAATAAAACTGAAATATATACATTCGTAACCATATTCATTAAAGCAAAAGTAAGCAAACTGATTGTAAGTCGAACTTAATTATTAATATTATCTAATCGTGCTATCCATATTCACATGACTATTAATTATAATCATCATTAAAATAAAATTGATACTATTAATGCTAATAGAAGAACATATAATTAAAGAAGAAGGGAAATCTTTTAGAATACATATTGTTTTAATTTATTTCGGTTCGGTTGTATAATATGAATAACGATAGTCGTCATCGATTCGACGCCAAAATGACAGTTTCCGGGAACTGCCTGGAAAACCAGGGATTAATTCCCTGCAACAGGAACCTCCAACTTTCAACGAGACGCCTGAACTAGGCGTCGTGGGCGGATCTCGCGGGGACCGATAAGAAATAACTCTCTACTATGAAGATTATTATGACTCGTCACCGATAACGAAACGCGCGCGCCCATCTGACGAGAGAGACAGCGATAAGATCTCAGCGCTGAGACAGCAGATTGCATCCGAGAACGTGGAAAGAACGCGATTTTAATCGAATTATATTAAAACCGAGCGACACACTTTGTACGATATACTCCCGAAAATGAGAGGCAACGAACCGCGTTTATAATCGGCGGCGATTTTGCCACATAAGAGTGCTGTAGTAAGAAAGTGCAATGGATACCAGTTAGCTTCCCCTTTGGATTTTCAAATCCTCTGGGTACTGAGCCACCCCACCACGTCAAGGTCGTACCCTGGGGGGGTTGTCGCCGGCGATCAGCTACGCGATACAGCTGTACGCACCAAAAATGAGCACCAAGAGTTTCGTATGTCAGTACGAAACATTTAACGTCATGTAATCGAGTCTTTCATCCGATGGATAAAAGTTTCGTGTATTATGAATTTTGTGCGACAAGTATATCTACTCTACGCGGATAAGCGAAACTCTCGTCTGACGTTGATCAGAATATATAATTATCACTGATGAAAATTATGTCTTGTCAAAACTTTGCGAAACTTAATAGCGAGTCGATCGATTCTGTTTACTAGGCGATGTCACGTCGATGTTTTGTCCCGCTGATTTATTCACGCTCACCGAGCTCGAACTTCGGTCCATGCCCTTTAGCGCGGTCGGGGCTTCATCCACGGAAGACGGGAGCGCGCGGTAACGACTTTATTAGGGTTATCGACGTGAGCACGTGCCTCACCCCCTGACATTTCAACTCTCGGCATGTTCGTTACGGAAAGTGGGCCTGGCCGACCGACGCCCGGCGCCCGGCGCTCGGCGCCGCGCCGCGCCGCGCTGCGCCGGCATACGCCGGTACAGCTAATTGCTAATTATCTTACGGTTTTAATCAATCAGTCAGAACGACACATTGTGCAGTCATGGCAGATGTTGCGCAACCGCCGCGGTAACTTCGCCGTAATCAAGTCCAGATCGCTCGTATAATTGGCCGATTACGTGATCCCGTCGTTACACGCCCGTCGGTTACTCCCGTCGCACGCTCGTTACAATATTACGTGAACTTCATTATTCCCTCCTCGCTGTAATTCAGTGGATACAAGGGTGAATCTGCGGATCGGCGCGAGATAGCGGTTTTCGTGTTGTTATAGGCACCGCACTATCTCTTTCTCCCCCCGTCCTCTCTCTCTCTCTCTCTCTCT